TGGCTAGAAATAAAAGATTGGGGATCTGTCGTACTTGGCTATGGCCTCGTTCATCCCAGTATGGCCATGTGCTTAGTTCAGGACATGTGCTAGCAGAGGATATCTTTAACTGAATTACTCCCCACTCGAACATCTGTGACACCGGTAACCATTTGCACGACTATGGAGAAAATAAAACACGAAGAGATCAGCCTGGCTGGAACAACGAAACTATATAATTTGCGGAATGCAAAGTCCAAAGCAGAAGGGTTAGTGGATTTATTTTTAAAATGCCAAGGTATTTTGAGACAAAACTGTTACACCGATTCATACCAAGTAGTAAGTCACGTGACAGTTATCTGAGACAGTGCACGCAACAGAAACCCGAATCCTGCTATGTGGATCTATGTGGAGCTGTAAATATCGAAAAGTAAAAATGATGTCGAATATTTCTTTCAGTTCTTCCAGTCAATCTTCTAAGGGAGGTGGGCATCCTTCCGCGTATCCAAAAGAACACGATGACTTCAACTATTCATAACGTTTAGCTCCACGAAGAATCAATTTTAGAAAAGGTATTAACCCTTAGAATTGAAAACCTCGTCGTTAGGGTAAAATTTTAGTAAACGTTCGCGTCTAACTTTTTTAACCATGTCATCATCTCTTTTGTTCCAAGAAGCCCTTTTTAGGCGGAATTCTTACACGTATTGCAGAATAACAGAAATTGATGGAGAAATCCATCGATATTGCACCTGGATGTGACGACCTTCATAATAGTTAACTTCTCATCCACCTTTTCTCGCCCACCGAACTGATGACGTTGACGGTGGACTCCACTCTCTCATCCCTACGCTGTGGATTCTTCGGTTAGTAAAGACATGCCGCACTTACCAAGCCTTCAGTAACTAGTGGATTTTTCCCCAGTGTAATAATGCCCTCCTTAAAGAGGAAGGTGTAGCACACGCATAGGCCCTCGTTGACGGGATAGTTGGGTTTGGCTTCTACCCTGCCAGCGCATGGCCCCTTCATAGGCGTTGCTGGAAGGGGCTGGGCGGGGCCAGAGCCCCCTCTGGATTGAAACCTTTTGAAGCGTATTTGCATCGAAAGTTATGTTTCAAAAGCACCACTCATTGTACCATCTTTGGCATTAAAAGGAGCAAATTTGTCAAAGGTGGCTTATAAATCACGGAAAAAGCATTCGTTTACGCCCACGGGTCGCGGATAATATCGTATGTCAAGCAATGCTGTTTTCATACTCTTAATAACTGCCTTAGTTAATTTATGCATCTTATGCTAATTGTTTGGGTATTTACTCACAAACCAATTCAAGTAATCGTCTTGTGTGTCCATATATGTACTAGTTAGCATTGGTGTTCACAGTCCACCTATACAATTTTTTATCGTTTTTACTGAACACCCAAAGCAATTATGAAGCGTAATTACTGTGGCTCTCATCGAACCACCATATACAAGCGCATTAAGCACCAGATGAAGGCATATTATGGGGCCACTGAAGAGCCTGAGTCTGAGGTTCCCTCGACGTCGAGAAATGCCTATTCTGAGCTCTGAAACTTCTGCCAGCAGGTATTATATGTGTGTGTACCTCAGGGGAGTCATCATACAGGTCAATATTTTAACGGAGTGCAAAAAGTGGGCGGAAATCTGGCGTCCCCTACACATTTTTAGTTGGTGGGGCCAGGGGGGCTGTTGTGTTGAATTCCCCGCCACAGCCCCCTCTACAGCCCCGCCTAGCCCCTTCATTGTGTCCTCTAGCCCCGCCATACTTGAGGGGGCTACGCGGGGCTGGTGCTGGCAGGGTTAATTATAGGTTGACCAGGCCCAAAGGCTAGTTGGTCCTCTCACCAAATAAACTTGATCCTTTGCTGTTCCCGCTTACCCGTAAACTTTATTTCGCTGTGAGGCCAGGCGGGGTTCTCGTGTTGAATGTCCCACCTAGCCCCATCTAGCCCTGTCATTTTTGATGGGGCTAGGAGGGGCTGGTGCTGGCAGGATAACTATCATTATGCCTCGAGCGATAGTTTTTCTTTTGAAAACCCCCCAAGTCACAGTCATTCTACACCTCCTTAGAATATTCGATTTATATTATTCCGACACAGTCAAGTGTCCCCATAGAGTTGTTTCACTGTTTGCCGACTTTCCTAATTTTTCGCTATCTTGCTCCCTCAAAACAACAAGTAAGTGGAGGTCCATTGTCAGAGAGATCAACATTACAAGTACTGTCTACTACTGTGCATATATTTCCGCGCTGACATTTTGTTGTGAATAATTTCATAGATCTGCTCACACCGCTGGCATTGTCATTACATTTTTAAATGAAGAACCTAGAATAGAAACTGTACATCGTTGCTGATCGTAAACAATCATATCCGGTGGGGAGAAGTAGACATGATCGCTTGAAGAAGTGATTTATTGGCCTGACGTTTTGGATTCCTTCTTTAACCCACTATCGCAGGCAACAAAGATATCGAACGTATAAGGTTCTTAAATCAACCAAATTAGGCGATAAAAGCTGTAATCCGTTGTGTTGTGTCTCATATTTATACAGCCAGTAACCCTATATGAGCCGTCGTGTAAGTATGAGTTCTATTTCCGGATTCCGAATGTTCTAAACAATTTACGGCTCACTGGTTGAGAAGGACAATTTTGACCGACGAGTGCATAGGTGCCTCCTGTAGACTAAAAAGCATTATCTTGCCGAGTATAATACAGACTGAATTATTAAAAGAAATGACCTTGCAATTCAGCCACAGCCCTCTTCCCTCACAAAGGAGAAATGAGGATAACACAGCCTCAGTAGCGGCTACCTAACCTGACAAGTGATGTCAGGAGTTAGCGGCGACTATTGAAGTTGCCACGCCAAACAAAGGATGCACAGTATTTACGCACTACAAAAGGCAGAAGAATCAGCTTCGAAGGCTTGATTTTTTTAAGACAGTGGGAGTTTGTAAGCTATCTACTTTATGAAGAAGACGAAAATGTCAATCTGCTCTCCAGTCCTGACGGCTATGGAATTCATGTCGGATTTTGACCATTGAATTCTTTCGTGGTTGGCATATGATTGGTATTAAGTAGGTCTTGTAAGCCTGACCTGCATTCATGCGATAAATACATGTTCCGTAATCCACTTCGATAGGGGCGCCAACAGGTGGCCACTTTTGAGTTCGATATGAGCTCGACCGGTAGAACAGTCGGGCATGGAGTTACTTCGATACACTTTGGACTGCGGAAAACTAAACACCGTTGAAATCCAACACCTTGAAGGAAGACGGATGGGTGCCTTGAAGTATCTGATAGCACTCAGGAAAGGGAGCCGTGCTTTTGTCCTTTCACAGACGGATTTGATCTTGTGCCGCCCCTGCACTATAATCCCACGGCGTAAACTATAGAAATATATCTAGAACATTGTAAAATAGTCAGTCTTGAGTAAATTTTGAGCATATCTTAGGGCATTTGCCTTGGAACCGTTTAGGCTATTGAGAAATTACTTTCGGTACTCTATCCTTGACAGAATCAGATCTGCAGACGGGGAAAGGTCACCTGTCGTTCCCGCCCGTAACAGCGGCTCGACGTGCATTTGCTATAGATTCGTAGAGAGCAATACAGAAAAAGAGATGATAAAGTATTTGAATTATCACGTCTCATTCAGCTCTGGCAGATTAGGAATTCCGTAGGCTGATTTGAACCAAACACGGCTGACGAAAAGGCATTTGGCTAAGGTCCCATTGGACATTCTGCTTGTGAGTGAATAAGTTATATCATCACCGTCGCCAACAAAGACATCCACCGTGTGTCCCATAGCATGTCGGGCACATGACGGTGACTTACATAAGAATTGCTGCGTTAATATATCAAACTAGCGCGGCATCTGGTGAACTACTTCCTCCTGCATTCACTGAGTTGCGATGATAAGACAAGGCAGAGAACACCGGTGTGGGCTCGGACGCATTGACTGACAGAGCTTGGCAGTCCATCTACGCGTTTCACAAGCCACCTGATCCCAGAAAATTTACCAGGACTTTCCATAGATAGCGCCCCAAGTCTCACTTTCGTCAGAGTGCCATGAAGACCCCAATTGGTAGGAGCCGTTGTACCTGACTTCCATTATTCCAGCCAGTTACTCCATAAATACACACAGCACTGGCCATGATGACCGAGTTACCCAGTCAGCTGATAGTCTTCTTAGTGACAACTCTTAGCCATTCTTAGTTCTTTCGAAGTGCGTCAGGTTTATGATGGTGAAGTGCTGTGGTGATGGATTTCCCAGCATCGACCTTACTCTCTCTCTCTCTCTCTCTCTCTCTCTCTCTCTCTCTCTCTCCTCTCCCATGCACCAGTCAACCGGTCCGAGTCCGTTAGTCATCTGAAGCTGAGGCTGGACGCGATGGCTGGCAGGGCTGCATCAGTCAGTTTGTACATTATACGTATCACCTGGTTCCTCAAACAAAATGACAGGTTTTCACGAAACACGGGGCCGTTAGGATCTCATGTAATGGCGACTTACGACTGACACCTCTGTAACTTGTTACAGTGGACACGGGAATGAATCTTGCGAGCGGATAAAACGGCATTGTTGGCGCATCCAAGGATGTTGTTAGCGGTGGACATCGTCGTTCGCCACGGTAGAATTATCAAAGTGAACTACATTGTACATGACGCGATCTCCTCAAGCTCCTCCCTACAAGGACTTCTACTGGCAACTCTTCTGGCTACGTTTGTCACAACTACTGTGCGCTAAATGCGCTTGTCGTGTCATGAAACAACCCACCTGAGGCCATTGTTATGCCTTATTTTGTTGAGATCTTCCAGCATAGTCTTAACAGACACATGTAACAACATTAAACAGGCCATATTACTGCGCGGATTACAGGTGCACTTACTTCGGATGGAATACCCAGGATCTCACTGGTGTTTACGGTGATTGTACAACATTACCAGTATTTTTGGTTTGTGTGTGAAGCCACAGGCACCGGGTGAGCAGAGATTGATGAGATACGTAAATCACATCACAGTCGAGTATCCAGCGCGTAACGACAGTTCGACCTTCGTGACCGACAATGTTCACGTTGTGCTCCACAGTAGGGTGAGAACAGGCAGAGTGGCTTACGCATGGTTTCTTTTACAGTGATGGAGGATTTTCGCTGCATCCACCGCACTCCCTCCTCTCCCTCCTCCTCCTCCTCCTCCTCCTCCTCCTCCTCCTCCTCCTCCTCGTCACATGAGTCCTGTGTCAGGAAGATCGCAGGAGGGAAATGGCACAGGTGGCTGTTGCGACCGGGCCCCCACCTAGGCGTGCCACCACAGATCCTTGTCCATAATGAACATTTGTTCAGTACCTTAACCAACAACAACAACAACAACAACAACAACAACAACAACAACAACAACAACAACAATGGGAAGGGGAGACAGGAATCCCAATTGGGGTGACATGAGCCAGCAACTGGGCCTGTCACCACAGCCCAAATTTTGGCATTTGTCATGAGTGTGAGTTCCCGATAGCGCCTGCCCGAATCCAATACGACCGCCATGGTGGTCCAGCGTATTTACGGAGTGGCCGGCTTTGGGGGCACGCACGCATAACGCTGTTTAAGGGTGAAGCAGAGTTAGAGTGGCGCAAATAAGACATGCCATGAGCACATGTCACGACTGCACATGATGGCCCCTAGATGTGCAGTTCAGCGACCAATGAGAGAACACAGGGTACTTCCCTTTGTCCCGACAGAGAGAGGAATTCGCCATATTTTGAAATCATTATTTCAAAATATGTGGCAAAATTGAGCTCTATTCGCTGTGGACAAGGAAAAAGTTAATAAATAATTCAAGACCCAATACGATTTACACAAAACGAAACGAGTGTTATAGATAGATAGATAATTTTTTATTAAAGACCCGTCGGGGTCCCATCAAAGCAAGTTAAAATAAATTTACATGTGAGTTTTAGACGAGGCCGGCGGAATCTTTACAAAATGAAATTCATAGTTTCTGAATTGGTAGTCCATTGAGAATTATGATGATTGAGGGGTGAAAAAACTCCATAAAGAAAATTTAAAAATGATTGAATTAAATTTACAGGAGAAAAAAACCCCATATAAAAATAATGACAGAAAAACCGAACAGGACTGGCCTGTAGGCGACGGTATATAACGGAATGTTGTCGGTTATCGTCAGGGTAGCAATAAATCTCAGCCTTGAGGGGCACGTATGCGGATCAGAAAGGACGGGCCTGCATGTGGCATTGTATACAGGTTTCACAATTGAGATCGTCTGGGCCGGATTGATACGCCGCATGAGACTATTCGCGTCAAAGAGGCCATACGAAACGAACCCAGATGTGATCGGCCACAGCACGCTTCGAGCTCAGTTTAGCAGTGGGGAAGGGAGGTACGACCAAACTACTAGTAGACGGTGAATACTGAGGGTTCCGCCGTGAGCGTCGACAGACCGCATGAGGTCGAAATGCGGGAGATGACATCAAAAACCGCAAAAATTGTCGCAATGGGGGAGGAGTGATAGCAGTGTATTTAGAAACCAATTCAAAACAGGGGTTTCTAATGATATAATTAAGAGTTACTACTTAATCTATCACTAAATCCCAGGAGGACCCTTCTCGATGTCACGAATCTGAGTGTTCGGGAATGAGACCGTTAACAGCGCCTTTATGCTTTCCGGTGTAAGATAATTGCGTAATTTAGACTTGAATACCAGTAACTTAGGCGATAGTCTAATTTCAGGCGGAAGATTATTCCAAAGGAAGGCATATTTGGAAGCAAATAAGAGGGAGCGCTTAGATGTAGTGCAAAGAGGCGGCGGAATCACCATGCAGGAGTTGCGCGTGGCATAAGACCGATCTCTCGGAGTGAGAGTGTCAATGAGCGGAAGACTGGAGCTGGAGTTGATGCGAAAAAGGAAGCAAAGGCCAGCTTCGGGTCTTCTAACCCACAAAAACTTAATGTTCGCTAGCTGACATCTCTGAGAATAAGAAATACCGGACGAAGCTTGAGAGAACAGTTTCCGGGTGAAAATCCTTTGAACATTTTCGATTTTATTACGTTCGCAGGTTTTCATTACACCGAAGAATGGACAGCAGTATTCAAGGACTGGAGGAACAAACATTTGATAAGGTCTTAGCTTCATTTCCGGAAGGAGAAAATTATGCGATATGAATCCACATATCTGCGCGGCTTTGGCAGAGATTCTATCTGCATGAGGTGATAAAGCAAGCTTATTTGTATAACTTAGACCTACGTCCTTTATGATGAGGCATTCTGAGAGTGGGTTATTCTGAAAAATTACGGGACCAAGAAATTTGGTATGACCAAAAGACATGAAACAACGCATGGGGACAGTTCGAATCTTAGCTTCTGTATTCCTGTCTCTCCGCAGGGAAGGATCTTAGATTAGACCCGCATCCAGACTCGTTTTTGGATCCACTAGCCTATCACAAATGATGAGACGTAATTTTCACTTTGAAGTATAGAACTGACGCATGGCCCAAATGGCTGAGGTAGCGGTGGTTTGTAATTCACTGCCCCACACTGCGTCATCAAACCATCCAAGCTAAATATAAATGATACGAGGAAATCACATACCTTAGTTTTTCCGTGCCACCAATGAGCGAGCGTCAGGCTGGACTAACCCACCGCGTAGGACTCGGGCGCAAGAATTCTGCCCCGTCTGTAAGTGTCCGTGTTCTCGCCACGAGATTCAGAAGCAGACAGGTATGTCAATATGCAGTTATCGGAAGCGGAATCTCCGCCTGGGTACAGATCGCAGCCATAGACTGACAGGTGGGTACGCACTAACAAACTGACTAGATGCTCATCGAACCAATCGGCTGGACTGTACCATCTGAGCTGTGCGTGAGGTCATCATCGGCCAAATGAAGGCTAAATGCGACCGAAGACGAGCGTCTTCAAGTTACCTACGTCTTTGTCGATCCCTCTGCACGGAGAAGGTGAGGGGATTGGGTACATGAGTCTGAACTAGACGGAGGAACACAGGCTAAGACTGGACTAACCGTGTTCGGTAAGGATGTTTTGTACCAGGCATGGACCTGATAATATACAAGACTGGCTACTGCATTTGTTTAAGTAGGTGCTGTTCTTTTATGTTTTTCCCCTGCACCACCTAGGCCTTGGCATTGACTTTCTCTAAGTGTTTCGCTGGCCTGTACTACTGACCATGCAAACAACCACCCCGAGAACCAGGCGTCGAAGGAATGTCTATATAGACTCACTATTGAACTCCTCATCCCGGCCGTGCTAGATGTTACGAGAAAGTTTTGTCTGCAACCAACGGAATATGAATGGCTGAGTATTTTTGGTTTACTTTATACACATGAAAATATTTACATCCGAGAGACATATTATTGTGCCCCTCACGCTAAACATGTCGGATGTCATGAAAAAGTTTCGTTCGCAATCTGCCACATATCAGAGGCTGAGTATTTGCAAGTACTTTATACAAATGGAAATTTTTGCCGCTTAGAAAAGTGGCTTTTGCGTGCCAGTTCTCTCGAGCTTGTCCATTGCTCATCTGCTTCACAGGGTACACTTCCGCGATGTGGGACAGGATGGTTTTCCACGCCTGTTTTAGGCCGGTGGTCCAAACCATAGACGATACTGTATCTCGTCAATGTTGGCCCACGCAGGTCAGCCTGACACAGGGCATTCTCTTATGTAATTTTTTTTCAAACGGCTACAGTACGTCTGCGTCCTGCGGTTTGTTTTCGCGGCGGTCGGCATTTAAAAAGAGGATTTATTTTTAGGTCACCACTATTTCTTACTATTGAAACTACTACCTACATACAGATGATGATGATGTTTACATCTACGTGGACAAATTAACTTTCTGTGCTTCAATATTCCACTTGTGACTTTGTTTTATTTCTGAACTCTACCTTATATACTATGACTTATTCCCAATACATACCCTCGTCCGTGTTTTCATTCATTCTGCTGCATCAGTTTTTCGTCAGTACCGTAACTCAAACTTTTCTGTTGATGCAATTAGTGAAAAACGAAGCAAGAGATGCGGATAGAACGGAGGGGATTTAAGGAGTGGCAAATCGGCATTACTTCCCGTAGGAACTCCCGGCAGCATATCAGTCGTCAACATGATCCAACCCATAAACATCCATTGAACCCAGATCACCGGTCTGCAGCATGGATGTCGCGGAGGCCGAGGTGAAAAATGAATGTTTTGGAGAAGGGGCCATCGGTCACCAGCCAAGTGGAAGGCCCTCCAGCGTCACCCAATGTACAGTAATCGGGCTAACTCATGAAATGTCAACCGAAATTTTTAACTGCGTTCTCGTTTCGAAAAATTAACTAAGCATGAATGTAGAACTAATCACCATCCAGCATAATTCCATAATGATCCAGGTACCCTATGGAGCCTTCTTTCGACTGAACCTATTTTCCACTGCAGGCAAAAACTATAATCTTTAAAAAATTACTACCTAAGTTGGATGCATTTTTCTCATTAATTTTAGATGCTATTAAGAGCTAAATTATGGTTCATGAAAAAAATGAACAAAAATATTTAACCTTTCATTTATTCTGCAGGTCGTAACGTCTTCTTTCAATTTTATATTCGAAAGAAGAGTATAATCAGGTTTCAAAAAATTTCTAATTGTGAGATTTTTAATACGTGAAATGGCTGTTCATAAAACGTCACGTATCTGCATTTTCCAATGTGTCTTGTAAAGTTAACAATAACTTCTCAAATCCACTGCTTAATTTTATGAACCGCATATGATCTTCTCCTAATACCTTATAAAATTTATGGTTTCCGTGCACGGAAAATATACCGCTTGTAGTCTGGAAACCCTGAATGCAAGTTTAACAGGAGGTCGGGTTCAAAATTATTCGGGAACTAGAAATGATTTTTAAAACCGAATTATAATCTTGCATCGAACAGAAACTTGACAGAAGACGTGATTGTCTACAGAATAAGTAAAGGAATGAATATTTTATGCATGTTTTCCATGACATATTGTGGAATTTTCATGGGCCTCTGAAATAAATGAAAAAATTGCACGCTTATTAAGTAGTCATTTTTTTACAGAGTATGGTTTTTGCATGCAGTCGAAAATAGGTTTATTCGAAAGAAGACACTCTGTAGTAACTGGATCATAATTAATTTATGCTGGATCGGGATTACTTTCACAATCATACCTATTTAATCTTTTCGAAACGAGAACACATTTCGAAATCTCGGTTGACATTTCCAGAGTTAGTCCACCTACTCTAGGGACGTCATCAAAATGCATGCACAAGGCCGGTGCCAGTGCAGGCGTTCGTAGATGACGCAAAACACCACCAACTCCAGGAAGTGCAGGAATTGGTCGGGAGGCGTCCGACCCGATCATCTCTATCGCCTCACGAATTGGTGATGCAGTAGAAAAGCAACGTATCGATGGCCCTCACTGCAATTTGAAAACAATTCTGTGCTGGGACTGCTAAAATCTGGACTCGGAAATGTGTCATCAGGTAATGTATCAGGAAGATAGAATTCAAGGAGGATTAGTGTGGTCGTCAGTCACCGATTAAGATGTTCTGGCCAGTAAAAAGGTACGTTGCGCGAACCAAATGGCAAGTAGAATCGGCAAGGCTCGATTACGCTGTCCAGGTCCCAAATGCAAGCACAATGTGAGCATTTAAAGTAAAGTAGGCCGAAGAGGAGGAAAGCAGCCAAGACTGAAACGGAAAAGACAACCTGATGTATGGCAAAATCTGCCGCGAGACAGGAGGAAGCCCAGACTCAGCGAAAACGACCTGGCTCACGGGACACGCAGAGCAGCAATATCCTACACTTAGCGCTAAACATAACCGTAACCTCAAAAGTAAACCTAATCCTAAACGCATTATAAACCTAATGATAGCACCTAACCCCAAACTTACCAAAAACCTTGACCTTAACCCTGACTCAAATCCTAGCCGTGACCTCAACCCTTTCCAAAACTCTGACTCAGACCCTAACCCTAAGCTTAACCGTAAGCCTAACCCAAACACTTAACTCCAACCTTAAGACTAAAAGTAAACCAAAATCTCAATCCAAACCCTAACCCTGACCGAAATGCTTACACTTAACTTACTCCCTAACCTTAGGCTCAATTCTCCCCCTGACAATAACCCTAAAACCAATCCTTCTTCTAAACCGAGACATCAGGTTGCCCTTTCTTTGTTTTAGCTGTGACTATTTTCCCACTAACGATTCTAGCATCAAAGTTCGGCCAACTTTACTTGCAATGCCCACATTGTGCTTACGTTTGGGGCTAGGATAGCGTAACCGATCCCTACCGTAGAATCGAGGATAAAGGGCACTAGCAACACGTGGGGTTCGCATCCGCATTCACAGACCTCCTAAGAGGAAAGACGGAATTTACAGATTGTAAAATTATTCGCTGAGCACGCACACCATATGCTGAAGATGTTTCTTCTCCTACAATGGCGATGTGAGTAGACCCTTTAGTATTTCCGATAGTAAACGATGACAAGACGATCAATTACGTTGTGCATTGTCAGTAGAGACAACTGGTACTCCTTCCTCTATTCCAGGCTTCGGAGAATCGCAGACTTCAAGCTGTCAGGCATCCAAGACCGACACTCAGAATGATAGGCCGCGCACTCCAGCTATGACAATGTGCCCGCGAAAATTCAAGCTCACGGAATGTGCACATACAGTGCGTGACCGATCTCATGAAATGTTGGCTGAAATTCTCAAATGCGTTTTCGATTAAGAAGGATTACTTGGTCGCGGTTGTAATACTGATTATCTTGAGGCACACTCTTATAACATTTCGGACTCGGCAGAATGTCGGCTTTTAAAGGCATTTCTTGTCAATCTCCTGCAGAATGCGTACTCGGCAAAAAATGACCACTTAAGTAGCATGCATTTTCCCCATTGATTTTCGATGGTCTTGGAGATTCAAATATATTTTATAGAAACCATAAACAAAAAATGCTTTCTTTTAGTTAGGCAATTGAAAATCACGTCTTCTTTATATTTTATACTTAAGGAAGGAGTATAATTAGGTTTTAAAAAAAGTTTTCTAATTACCGAATGATTTGGAGCCTGATCATTCGTTGCATTAGCGCTTAGTGATTTTACTCCACAAGGTACATGCGTTCCGCGTAAAGAAACTTACATATTTTTCTATGCCATTTAAGAGATATCATACAGAGTCCATAAAATGGTACAATGGATGCGGACCACGTGGTACATTTCATGAGGAGCAGTGGTAAATGGCCAGGTACGATGCTATGTGAATGGACATTTCGCGGTCTTAAAAAGTCTCGCTATGATTGGCAGGTTATGACAGGGAAGGCAGAACCGATCCCCACAGGCAACCGTGTTTCCCTTGGTGACATTTATTGTTACCAAATGTCCGTCACAATGAAGACAACTGTGAGAGGCTTCGACAGCAATCTTAAGACAATACGGAATCCGGCACATTCGGTACTGAGTCTTGCAAAAGTCAACGAACTCTTTTTCTAACTTCATAAAGTATCATTACGGAATGTCACTGGCTGTTATGAGTCCCCCACCCACTAACAGATATTTTTCAGTAATCCCCCAACACCGCGTGTCGCGCAACCGATATTTTAACTAACATCCACTGACTCATCTAACATCCGAAGATCATCACACCTACCGTTTCAGCTATCGACCTCACGTTTTTCTGTCACGATCAGAAATATGCCAAGTTACATAACATTTGCGCTAATTTCAAAACGAAATACCGAACACCCCTGTCACTGCATTCGGCCACGGAGGTTATTCAATGACTAGTAATCAGTAATCCTTGCATCCACGAGATCGCATCCAGACCAGACAGGTTGTCTAGAAAAGCGTACTGACTCCCGTTATCCAGCGTTCTCACTACTAGGTCTATGCGGCATTTCACGACCGAAGTCGAGTCTAGGCACCTGTGTTCAAATTAACTGTTTCGCATCAAGACATTTGAACGAAAACCGCTATTATATGATATACAGTTTATCGCCTTAGCAACGATTGCTTCCCCATGATGCATGTGCACATTTGGAGTATATGTTTGTTAACCTGACATATTTTGTAGGTATAAAATTTGATATCGAAATAGTAAGCAACAGCATAAAGCCTCTGGGATCCGTAGCATTTCGTTGCCAATAAAGTCAGCCCAAATGTATGTCCAGAAGCAAAGGTGGCGAGCGAACGTTGCTTTCGATAACTTATCGTCAAGCCAGTACAGTTATATGGGGCGGTGTACACTGAATGAAAAAAAATCGATAAAAATTCGTTTTTAAAATGCAGGCTATGCAGGAGCGGAAGGGTGCCGAAAGTTGGATGCGGTTAGTCAACCTTTGACCACGATAAGCGCGGAGCCTGCACGAGGTCCTTCTGGGCGCATAGGGTCGGTTTTCGTAACCTGATAACGGCCTTTTCTGCTGTTGATAACATGTGCTGGCCCAGTAGCTTAGGGTAACTCGAGGGGACCTTATAAATCACACGAAATGCTTCAGCGGGGTCCACACAATGCCCTGAGTCCACTACATGCGCAAGGATGGCGCTGCCTATTCTCCTAGTTTCACCTTTTTCCAGCCACGCGGAAAGGTGTTCTCGTATTCTTTTGGAAAGGCGCCAACTCGTATGACCAATATAGCCTGCACTACAGGAGCGAGTGAATGAGTAGACGCACATTGAGGCGGTCTGAGGTGGCAGCCTATCCTTGCCTTCTCCACGTAAAATGAGGTTAGTAGAGAGTGATATGCGAACACTTGCTGCTGGGAAGGTTCTCGAGACAGGTAGGTTAGGGGGAGATGAGTGTGGCCGATGCTCTGCAAATCAGATGGAAGATAGGGTGGAACAGGCAAGTGCACTCTCTGAAGAAAATGTAGAGGGGCTTGTACAAAGGCAATACATGTGAATTATAGAATGACTAAGTAACCGCCAGACCAAATATGACTGAGTGTCAATTCGTCTTCGTTAGAAATACATTGCCAATAGAAGGGACTCGTCTCTTTGCTTCTATTGACAATGTATTTAGGCGCGATGCGCTCCAATCGGCCTGGCAACGGAAAACCTTCGCTCTTTCAGAGGCCTATACGTATTCACAGATTCGGTTTCTGTAGAGGTGCCTCGAAAACGACGTGTTACCAAAATGTGTTTCATGCAAGTCCCGATGAACACGAATTTGGCGAGACGAGCAGTATTTCAGCATGACAGAAGGATGCTCCGAGTGCTCCTCCATAAAGGCCACGCGAAACTTTGCAAGAGCCGCCAGAGAATTGATCAATAAAAAACCAGATATTGTGAAATTTACACAAATCTGCCCCTGAAGAGGCTGACCGAACGAACCCACGAACAGAGAGTGATACGCGACGCAGCACTGGAGAACAAATTCAGAAAGCCGCCCAATTCAACGTCGCCCACAAAACAACAAACTGATGCACAACCTGTCGTCAAAGGAGCTGACGAAAGATCAGATGCAAGTTTTATGGCACGAAGCTTCATTTAACACGGCTGACGCCAAACTTGTTAACATGATTGCAGCAGTGGAGTCAGTTCTTAGTCAGACGGAGGCAATGGAGGAGACTGAGAGCCTCACCCGACACCAAGTGTTGTCCCTCCTAATGGACCACAAGCCGCGGGAAATGCTTTCCAAGGTCGAGCGCTATGCGCTAGAAGACTCGAGGCCGACAAAGGCCTGGTCATCGAGCCAGCAGACAAGGGGCGCTTTACGGTTGTGCTGGACAGGACAGAATACCTACGAAAGGCAAAGGTTTACTGAATGACCCATGTGCAGCGAACCCTGGAAAAGCGCTGACACACGGAAGTAATGCTGAGTTGTTGGCCTTGGAGAATTCAGGTGGAATAACACCAACCGACAGACGCATGGCGAGACCCCAAGATAGGACTTTGACCCAATTCTACGGCCTCCATAACATGCACAAAAGGGCGCGCCTCTCCGAGCTATCTTGTCGCTCAATGATACTTTAATGTGTGGACTGGTTATGTGGCTGTTTGGGCGTCTCAAGTTACTGACTTCTACGGTCGGTTCGTCAGCACAATTCCGAACTCGGGATTCATCGCAGAGGCTGTCCTGCCACTGTTAGAGTCGCTGGTCTTCCAACACCACAGACCGAAGTTCTGCGCCCTCGTCGTTCTACCCTCGTCGTTATCGACTGGGATCAACTACCGACATTCAAGGAGCGTCTAGATGCGGTGTACCCGGACATAGAATTTACGATGGAGGAGGAAGAGAACAACCAGCTGGTCTTACCGGATGTCTTCATATGCCGGAAGGATTGTGGTGAACTAAAGACTAGGGGGTACAGGAAAGCCATAAATACGATGTAATTAATGAACTTCAGCAGAAACCAGCCAGCCACAAACGCAATTGTGTAAGGACGCTCTATGGAAACGCACTGCAGTAAGCCGAAAGACAAGATTGCCTAAATAAAGTACCTCCGACGAGTCGGAAGCTTTCGGCCGCCTTCTCGCACCACTTGGAGCTGGAGTTGCACTCAGAGCGGAGGCAACAATCAGGCGTCAGGAAATAAAACCGAATGACCCGCTGTCACGTCAAGAAACGTCTGGAGTCGTTTATCGGATCTGGTGCCGTTGTGGACAAAGCAAATACCTCGGAGAATCCGTAAGACAGCCCCGAACGCGAGTGGCCAAACACTCAGCAGTGGTGCGGAGAAATGACGTTATTTCTCAAGCTGCTGCTCATTCAACGAAGTTTGGTCACACATTAAAAATTCCCGCTAGAGGTGACAACCGCGTGAGCTGCGATTTGCTCCAGTCGTGTTTCAATGACCTCCCAGTCCATTAACAAGTGCAACAACCTTCCCCTTCCATAATCTGTGCTGAGACTTCGCATGGCTGAGTAATTAGCCACACGGGGAGCGCACAGGTGAACGCTGTTCCCAACGTCAGGGTTGGTGGCTCAGATGGTCGAGCAATCATCAAAACAACATCCAACACATCAGCCATCAAACAATCACCACCTAAAGTACAACAATTCCTGATGAAGTTGGGGGGTAGCCATGAATATTCATACGTATGCGGTAGCATGGCGAATGAAGCCCCTTGTGCATGAACCACCGGTATCCGTTTTTGTCTCTGAGAATGGGTTCGAGCAGGAATCCGAAACGTCAGGTGAATAAAGCTCCCGTCCCAGTGATGGTGTCTCCTTCTTCAAGACTACTTCCTGGGACACATCTCTTTGCTTCTATTGGCACTTCATGAATTGGTACATCTGCTGTATATTCTCCGCAGCCAATCGTGCATTGTGACCAAAACATGCGATGGGACGTAGACAAGTTCAGACGTTGACCCAGGTGGCCAACAGTGAAAATCAGGCGTCATGTCAGATCGAGATCCACCGATGCCTTCTAAGTGCCCCCCATTTAGAGGTGTCACCGGTACGACTTAAGTATAAAAAAAATAGTTAATGACTTCTGTTTTCCGTACATGGCTCTCTTTTACCACGTCTGCAAATGAGCTAGTAAATAACATCAGCTATAAATCCACAAAGACTGGGTGCACCGAAACCGCAACCATTAAGACTTACCGAGGACACTGTCTCAGTATCCCCCGTCTCCACCTGCTGCTGCTTGTACGCTCGCTCTCCACCCTTGCGGATGATCATATGTTTACCATAGAGCTACCACAGAGATTATAAAGTCAGACGCTACTTAAATCGGCGAACACAGTTCCGTTTGTATAGGGCTTAGCAATCCCTAGATGGTTTATTTATAAAACAACCAGACTACTTAAGTTTTAAAGGAACCTCCCTGACAGAAGTTTTGGCGCGAAGGTAGGACTACTATCACCGGTTCAGTAAAAGGGTTCCCGCGTAGATATTATGTTTGCAAAATTGACTTTTAAGACGATCCAAACAATCAAACAGACAGGTTGCTCTGGTGTGACAGAATCTCTGCGCTAGCTCATGCTAACTACCAGTGTTCACAGAAAGAGCAGTGCGCAGATAGAAGTATGAGTGCAGAAACGTTGGATTTTTCCGAGGCAGAGGCATTCGAAAATATGTCAAAAAGGATTTTCACGGGTGATAGGTAAAATTAAAGTTCAACACAAACACACACACACAAATTTAGGGTCCCTGTCGTCTGCCTGGAAAAACTATTGCTAGGCTTCAGGAGCACTGACCAGTTTTTCTATATCTGTCTTAATGGCGAGGGCGTTCGATGGTTACCAGCTGACGGCGACTATGTGCCATAAATTTGACGTAAAGTCGCTTCACTGACGCCTCAAGCAATTAAAATATTAGCCCAAGAGCCGATAAATTGTCGCACATCATCTGTCCACCTTTCGGGATTTAAAAGGGTATGTGAGATTTGAGAGTTAACGAGTCACAGATGACATTTATCCCAGGCCATAGGAGTGAATTCCACAACCGGGAAGCAATCTCTGACACAGAATTCCTGCTGGCTAGATAATCCGTTTAGATGCCAATTTCACTCTGCTGCTCTTGATTAAGGAAATCGTCTGCCAAGCATATTTCCAACCCAGTGAAAGTGCCATGAAGACCATATTAAGAAGGCGCCACTGCAGTTTGGCTCTCAGTCCACTAATCGGCCACCCCACACAGACACACTGGACTGACGGCGAAGTCTGATTTGAATTGTCAGTTGAAAAAATTCCTAGTCGCGGCCTTTAACGCACCGTGGCAGACTAGAACTCGTCAGATGGTTTGTGGTAGTGGCTTATGTGCTGGACGTCGACCTCACTCTTTATTTCCTTTCCTAAGCACCGGTGAATTGTTCGAGTCGGTCAACCAGCCAATCCGGAGATTTGGAGAGGTGACTGGCAGAACTAGGAATGACCCGTCTGTGCGTACCACACACGCGACGTGGCCTCCAAACTCACAAACGCGCGCACGAAGATTTCACAAAAAGCGGATGGGTAACACAAATTTCACACGTGTGAGGATGCAGTAGGGGTCATAGTAATAAGTAACCACCATAAGTACCCTAAATACCTAGGCGCAAAAAGGGTATATTTCAAGAAACAGTGGAAAATAAGAAGGCGCAGTGAATGCAACAGGTAATACGGCGGGCGCTGCCACATATCTCCTAAAATCTACAGATCCCACATTCATCACGGGTGTTCGTGCTTGATAGGATAATTGCCTGCTGATTCATCACTGGTATGGCGATTGGCGTGGTAACGACTCGTAGTTACTACCACTGCGTGCAGTGTTCATCCATGTTACTCATTGAAGTGTTTAAGCAAGGTCTTAGCACAGGATAAGGCGAGGAATGATAACTACTTTTTTTCGGTGAACTGCTGGCCGAAAAAACAAGGACTTCGGCAACCCACGACCTACGCAACGATAATTCCCACCTCAAAGTGACGGTATGCTCTCGTGTGTATTGCAACTCAATAGTAATTGCGTCGGGTCCGCTTAGGGTTACTGGCCATTTTTCTGCCGTAGTAAAGGATATTTTAGTATGGTCATCTGGCCGTCCTGAGGTTATCTAGTAGAAATGTTGGCCGAAATTCTGAAATGCGTTTTTGATTTGGAAGGATTACTTAAGGGGGGTCGTCAGTTTGATTATCTCCCCCCATCCATTCCCCAGGGATAGTTGCACTTTCTGTGATGACTGTTTGATATCCGATATTCGAGTCGTTAATTACTGCAATTTCATTGGATGTGTTGGATGTTGGTGTGATGATTGCTCGACCATCTGACGCGCTGACCCAGCGATCTTGACGTTGGGAAGAGTGTTCACCTGTGCGTTGCCCGCGCGGCTAATTACTCCGCCTAGGCAAAGTCTCAGCACCGAGTATGGAAGGAGAAAAGCATTGCACTTGTTGATGTACTGGGGGGGGGAGGCAGTGAACCATGACTCAAGCAACTCGCGACTCACGCGGTTGTCACCTCTTGCGAGAATTTCGGCCTCGTTGAATTTTATTGTGTGGCCGAATCTCCTCGAATGAGCCGCAACCTGAGAGCTGTATTTGTATTTGTAATGTTTTCGCTGTCTTTTGCAGCTTTACGCTTATCAATGATTGTTTGTCAGTCACTGGAATGACAAATAAAAGCGTCAATATCTGCTCATCGATGAGGACTTTGCGCTGAGCTGCCCTCCAATATCACTGAAAAGCTTCTCAAACGTTTCTGTTGCAATTTGTGCTGTGCCATAGGGCACTCGGGCAAAGAGCCTGCTTTCAATTTTTTTTCATATGGATGGGCTGCCTAACATAACACAATCGCTTCTGTAGTGCATTGCCACACTCAGTAAACATCACCTCTCATCTAGCAGAGTAGAAATGTAAAACACCTCAAATAATCATCCCTTTGGAGAATAAAGGAGCAAAACACTGGTCAAGTGCACTACCGTTTTACGGATTTGTTTATTTCGTTTTAATATGGTGTTACTCCAAGAACCAAAATTTTCTGGGCAGGCCTGACTAACACACGTGGACTTCTAAACAGGACAGGGAAATATTAACGCCCAAGGTAGATTTGCGCATAATTCTGAGAAGGGCAAAATATTTCCGTGTTCTAACCTCAGCATCAACCCTAATCTTGAGCCCCACCCTACCCCAAACCTGTGCAGTTCACATTAGTCCCTATCTTAACTCGAAACTTAATCCTGACTTGCCTTACGGTAAACTTAAATCTAGCCTAAAACCCTAACCTCAAAGCTGCGCCTCATTTCACGGAAAGTTGGCTCAAAGCCACTTGTGCCGCAGGCCGTCCACATAAGTCAGTTCTGCCATTTTCTGAGTTTACGCCTGCCCCCATGTAGTAGCCCGCGCAACAACCTCCGACTCGGAACGTAAGTCGGACGCTAACTCTAACACATAACTGCGGTCGATGGGCTTAAACCCAGCCCTGACTCCACATTAGTGGATATTGAATGAAACAGTAGTCACACTACACGATACCAAGAATTATTCCAATTCCATCTAACACAGCCTCGAACGGCTGGCTGCAGCACATACAGTGCGTGATCTAACTCATGAAATGTGTCGAAATTTACGAATGATTGCCAATCACTCGCAAACCGACACCGTTTCATGAGTCAAATTTATATGTTTATTAAGGAAAACTTTAAAAGAATTGAAAACACAAAAGAAATATTAAAGGCATTGTTGCGTTGTTTAGAAATGTCGGTTTATTTTTAAAAGCGCAATATCCCGAGAACGTCAGCAATCGCTCTAATTAAGTAAACTTCGTTTTTAGATGCATGAAATGCATTCTCATACCGAAGACGTAATAACTATGAAAGTGGGCATAAAACCACGTCTAATAACAGCGTTCCAGTGAATTTTACATCTAAATATTGTTTAATAAGTAGTCTGACTTCATATATGACGGTTTGTCAATTGCCTACATTCTGGGTGTAGATTCCATAACAGGTTTCCAGTGTTTCATAATTTCACTAACGATCTAAAGTTAAGTGTGATGGGGTTCAACAGGAGAAGCTGGATTTTGCTTGATTTCGGCGATGGGGACGTCATAGGATCAAAAGTTTCCATAAGGTGACATGGCATGAGGCCGGTCGGGGTCTAATAACCTTAAATAGAAATGACAGGCGTGATCGTAAACATACCGTTCTGTATTTATAGAGAGAACGTTTCTTCCGTCAAATTAATTTATACTCTTATTTCGATTTGGACTACATTGAGTTTCAGATCGGCCTCGAAATATTGCTGAATAATTCATGATTTCCAGTGTTTTCATCCGATCGCCCATGAAGACAGATTTTGAATTACCTGTCCGTTAAGAACTTTAAAATAAAATTGTTCTTAAAGGCAATTACCAAATTACTGAGTGTTCAGGCGCTTTTTTTCAGCACGATGGTCGTTTGGGTGACATTTGAAGACTTTTTCAAACATTAAAATTCATTTTGGAGAAAAATGACTGTCCACAACGAAAGTCAGCAATTACTATGCCTTGGATCAATAAGAAAACTTTCCTTAATAAGTTACCTCTTTACGAAGTGCTTTATTACTGCACTCCGTCGACAGATCTATGTGCACTTTGTATTTTTGTACGGCGAGGCCAAGTAAAAATTTGACACGTTTGACGGTTTTTTTCAAGTTCCTAAACAATACTAATATGTTTTCTACTGTAAACAAAAGGATATGCATTTCTCTATACATTGAGGCCACTTCCACTGTTTTTGCTCGCTTTTAGACTCCGTTCTTCAATTATGAATGCACGGCAGAGCGTCCATACAAATACTGATATTTTTATGAAACTAAAAGTATTTTGCTCGTTCTGTTTCTGAAAAAATAGTATGCTTAGAAGCTAAAATACTAGAAAAGTAGTGTGTCATATGTTTAAAGCTGGAAATGACCATTCCGTGGTGGTCATCGATGTGAAATCAGGTAGAATTTTTCTAACAGCAAAAATTTTCAGCCAACTTAAACGAAGGAATCTCTATCTGCGTTATTATTGCACTTTAGGGCACCAATTCGCGCCGATCTGCTACTTTGACATGAAGGAATTAATAAAATATCTGGTTTACTTCAAATAACCTTTTTGTGAGGAGATTTATAACCATGGTCAACATCGAACACGAGGTAAAATGTATAGTCCGGCTAAATCTGTTTATGAAACGTCTCGCGTATAAATTACTATCCTTTTAATGAAAAAGTCGCTCAGATGCGTAA